GTATATATATGTATGTATATATATGTACACTATTAAAAAAAATTAAGCGATTATTTAAAATTATCGTTAAAAAGAAGCAAATTGAAAATTGCTTATCTTTGTGAAAAATTTCAATTTTGATAATGTGAACAAAGAAAACAAATTTTTTTGCAATTTTTTTTAATTGTAAAATATAGATAACATTTTCTTTCTAAAATGATTTTTTTTAATCATTACTATTTTTTGAACAAGTTGTAATGATTTAATAAAGTATAAGTAATGCACTTTCAGGTCTTCACTTAATTTTCTAAAGATGTATATTTGTGCCGGTTCTGTTACAGTAATTTGAGCTGCATGCACTTCTATACTTTATTTTAGTATTAAAAAAAATAAAAAACATTTGATATTACAGATTTTACTTCTTATATATGCATAATTATTGCAAATGTCCAATATGCATTTTGACAATGATAACGTGATGATTCGTGATAACTAAAATTTTAACTATTATAAAATTGTTACGAATTACCAAAATATCATTGTCGAATAGCGAAAATTTGCAACAATTACGTGCATAGCATATATAAATTAATTTAGAGAAGTAAAATTTTTGAATCGAAAATTCTTGCATTTATTCGTAATGCAAGAATTCAGAAATTCAAACAGAAATTCTTGCGATTATCAGATGAAATCAGTTCTATAATAGAGTCGCAAACCGTATAAGAAATTAACCGAGTAAAATCGATTATTTTTGTCTCTTTCTGTGGAGATATGCATATAAATATAAATATATATATATATATATATATATATATACACTGCTCGCTCGCTCGCGATTTTCATGATATACAAGAAATGTTCATGCAATATTCTAAACATTTCAACTTTTAACAACATTGGCACATTCTATAATGATTCTTTTACTATTCCGGAATATTCGGCACATTGGGGATTCAGTCATCGCTCCATTCCCGTCCCCTTAATATGATATTTGATTTTTATCTTGATTGATCTAAAAATTATAGCGGATGAAATAAATAAATGATTAGTGCCAATATAAGACATGCTAGTCCGAGGAGCGGCCTGTTCTTTATTGAATTGATAATTAATATCTTAATGATCACTCTAGTAAACGAAAATGGATTAAAATGGATTGAAATTTTATTCGAATACATATTTTAAATACGAAAACTTTTTTACAATTGGATTTAATTGGATTTAATCCAAATTCAATTAGATTCAATTGAATTCAATTAGATTCACTTGGATGAAATTGGATTGAAAAACTGTATTTCCTATTCAAAATTTTAAATTAAACAATATTCACGGTGTGTGTATAGAAAAAACTGATATTGTTTTTAAATTGAAAGATATAGAAATATTTATTAACAATGTATGTGTGTGTAATAAGCATTAAATGTTTTTCTAAGTATTTATTGTATATTTTAATAATTTCTTAATAATAAATATTCTAATGATTTTAATTAAAATTTATGTACCTGAAAGATTTAAAAAAAAGGTATCTCATGCAATCTTAATTCTATTTTAATGTCATGCACCGAAAGGTGAATGCACCTTAGTATCGTGTGTTAAATTACACGTTTACAGCACTTCGAATATTCGTACAAATGCTGTACATATAAGAATGACAATATGATTTACTACCTTGCCTGACGCACGCGCAACTCTTGCGATTCAATAACAGATAAAGCGATGTTATGGTAGCGGAACTGCCAGTCGCTATGTGCTTATCCTACCGTGTTAACTACTTTTTTTTTCTTTTTACATTAGACAATACGTTAAATTCGCATCGCGTGTATTTAAATCCATGATAGATAAACGAGAGTGATTAATAAAAACAATCGTTATTTTCGTGCTTGGCTATGAGATGGATGAAAAGGATGTGAATATTTTCGCAAATGTATATATATTACACAATATTTCACATTATTTACACTCATATTTAATTAAAAAAAATTTTTTTTCTTTAACCGTTAATAAAAATTTGTGTTGCAATTAATACATAATTTTACAAGAGAACATTGTAACTTTATGTTAGATGAAACGCATCCGGAAGGATGATATATCGACGCACAATCGTTACTCATGCCAAAATATATATGTAATAAAAATGCTGTAGGCTCTCAAAACTCCTTTTCTTAAAGTTTATAAATTTACCGTAGATTTTGGAACTTGTTCTAAATTTTTTATAAAGTGAATTACTATCGTTTCTATCTAAATTTTTATTCGATTGTAGAATGGATGTAAGCTCGTTGGTACCAGCAGGACTTCAAGGAGGACAAACGGATGCCTGCCAGATTCAGGCGGGATACAATAAACTTTCGGAAAATTTGCGAAGATTCACACCACAAGCTATACAGTGTGCTATTTTTTGCGGCGGATCCAGATGCAAGTATGAAAATCCAAAAGCCTGGCCGGCTGTCCACATGGCAATACAGAACATCTTTTCGCATTGGTGAGCACTAAAGTTATTCATTAAAGTTTAATTGAATAACGAAAATAAAAAGTAATTATTAAATGATTAATAATTATTAATGAGCAAAAATAATAAATAATTTGCCAATATTTTTTAATAAATACTACTATTTTTTACTAAATACTATTTTTTAATAAATTATTAATAAAATAACTTTGATCAATGTTTTGTAAGTTTAGACTTTTGTAAGTTTAGAAAATATCAATTATCAACTACCGTGAATAATAACCAACTATCATTTGTTATTATTTGATAAATATGTATTCATTCGCTTCTATACATAGTCTTGAATTATTCTAAATATCACTCGGCAATATTTATAACTCGTTCAATAATTTATATCGATGTAAAGACATATGCTGTATATTTTTGCTGTATATTTTATTATTCTGTTGAAGTATCGCTCAACTGCAACAGCACCGAATATTTATTTAAATTTGATTTATTTAAATGTACATATATTTGGTACATTAATATCCCCTTTGTTGCATCGACATAAATAATTAACATTATAGTCAGAAACTTGTTATTGTATATCGTTATCAGTTTTTGATCTAAATAGTTTAATCATTTAAATGTTTTAGGGTAACTGATGATGTCCTTGCAATGGCACGACCCAATACTGCACAGATAATAAAAAAAGACATAATTGCCCAATTTCAAGGGTGGAATATAAAAACCATAATAAATCTGCAAACACCAGGCGAACACGCAAGTTGTGGTGGTTCGCTAGAAGAGAGCGGTTTTACATATGATCCTAACATTTTTATGAAAAATAACAGTAAGTATTAAAAATATTTACTGAAAGTTTGCAATGTTTATTTTTTAATCATCGAGAATAATTTATAAAAAATATTGATTCTATTTTTTATATTTTTGAAATAAAAACAAATCAAATCTAGTCTAGCTAATTTGTAACTTAATAGTTTTTCTGAATTTTTAAATTATTATTATTATTATTATTTTTTTTTAATACTTATTTTATTTACGGATAAATCAAAGCAATGTTAGTGTTTCAATGAAAATCCCCACTATCAGTACATTACAAGTAATGCACTGTTTAAAAAGCTATTTACTTAAATCAATATTACGTTATTGTATTTCGCATTTACGTGATAATATCTAAACTAAATAATAATAATAGCGAAATAAAATGACAATAGTTTTACTTTTAAATTAGCAAGGATAATAATGAAAATAGAAAGGGAGTTTGTCCTTGTGTTAAACGCATGTAGAATCGTGAAAGCGTTTCTCCCTCGATCCTAACAACCACCAGTTAGATCGAAGAGCTTCACAATATAACATGCAATGCAGCAAAAGTGTATATCTATAGAGAGGAAGAAAATGTTCCAAAATAATTTTGCTGTCACTTATATCCTATTACCACAGGAAAGTTTTAGCATCAAACTCAGTTACCGATCACGTGAAAATCTGTTGCAGTTTATTATTATAATTTCGCCCTAAAGGATTATGGTAGCGCCACGGTGGGGAAACTTTTGGACATGGTCAAGGTTGTGGCCTTTGCCGTGCAAGAAGGAAGAGTGGCCATTCACTGTCATGCTGGTAAATCGATTTTTCGTGCAGTGCACTTGACCCAATTGCATCCCCTGCAGTTATCATGGCTTTTTTGAATGTATGATCATATGAGATGTATGTAGATGCATAAATTTCAGTCTACAGAAACACTGCTTTTTTTAAATCAAAGATCTAAAGCCAGTATTTATAGTTAGTTCTTATATTTAAGACCATCTTAAGTTCTGTCTTTGAGATGTCACGAACCAATCAGAAGGCCGCATTAGCGTTTTAAGCCATTACTTAAGACATTCTAAAAACGGATTATGAATACCGTCTTAAGACTTAAATCTTCCATTTCTCTGGTTTAACGATATTAGCATATTTCTCTCATTTTTTTAATTTAATGTTATTTATAAGTATTTGTCTAAAAATTGAATTAATAAAAAAAATATATGACTACATATATAGTGTGTATTCAAAATATTAAATAAAATTATAATATACTTTCCATAAAATTTTTAATTATCCGGCTTAAAATTTTTTATCTTTTTTTCATTATTTATAAATCTCTTATTAGATTTTATTGACGCTATTATTTTGCTATTTATTTATTAGTGTTTTACATTAATATTTTATTAAAATTTTTATTAAATAATTTA